GCCGGTCGGATGAGCGCAGAGCCAGACCTCCGCTCCTTGGAGAGCTTGGAGCTGTGTCCTGTGTTTATAAAGTCACCGCTGGCCTTCGGGAGACTGTTTGTGAGCGTGGGTAGGGTCCGGGCTTCAGAACCGCGCTCCTTAGTCCCTCGGCAGCCGAGTGCTTAAATGTGCGCTTTTGCTGTGCGCACAGGAGCATCCCATCGAGAGCACGGAGATTACTCACGGCTGGCAGTGTCAGCGCTGAGAGACAGCTTTAGGACTTGTTTGCATTGCAGATCCCATTGCCAGTTTCCATGTTTGTTATCTTTACGTACCCTGATCTATGACTTTACTAGGTTTTACACGGCCGGCACGCAGGCCTTCCCTCCACCGGCACCGCAGAGGCCTGACGTGGGGCAGCTCTCCGGGACGGCTCCGTGGCACTGAGCTCTGTGGTCGGGCACTGCTCGTGGAGGCTGGGTTTGCTGGTCTGCAGGATCTGTTCTGGTGCTGTGTTCCTGCGGGCTTTAAAAGAAATGTGAAAAGCTGCCAGTGATGTGACACTGTTTAACAATGCGATTTATGATGGGTTTTTTATTTAGTTAATGCAGATAAAGAGGCTCTGCTAATTTGCCTGTTAGTATCGCACATCTGTATATGTTTTATGATTAATTGTTCTGTATCCTAGAAACAAATGTTAAACTGAGACCTTGAGTTCTTTAAGAAGAACTGAGAATTGTTTTGATAGGATGCTACCCGGGACAGGTATTTCAGAGCACGCTGTTTTATCTTTTTTTTGATTCAGGGCTTTCTGAGGAAAGCAGCCTTGTTTGAGAACTAGCTTTCTGCAGAATGCTTCTGTCTTTGCAACGCATCTCTAGTAATATTTTGTTTATTCTAGCAAAGAGTGAAAGCTTTCCAGATGATCAGCATGTTTAGGAGAGACTTGAGACCTGGTTCTTGGTTCTTCAGCTTTCTGGTGAGCTTTACAGTAATTTTTATAATTTTAGTATTTGAGATAATATTAATGCTTTCTATGAATGTTACAAAGCATCCTCTCCGACAGGTCGGTAGTCTGTCCAGGGGTCTCTTTGCCTTTGCAGCCCTTGCCAAGAATCCGACTTCTAAAGGTTAGTGTTTTTATCAGCACTTCTGTATGTTTTTACAAGCAATATTCAGCACAGAGAAACAACGCCTAAAAAGGTGTCCAGGGGCAGAAACAAAGGTAAAGAAACTTTTTCTGATACCCTGTTTTGTGCCTGAAATTATATTTGCATAGCTAAATATTTGCTTGGCTAACTATTAAATTACTGTCTAAAATCAGGTAAGTACTGCTCAGCTACCAGTCTTTGTGCCGCCGTAACTGCAAACAAAACAGATTATTTTATGCTTGCAAACTTCATCTGCGAGTGCAGAAGCTGGTAGGAGCTGGGAAGTGGGGATAAAATGAGAAAATTTTCTTGTACGTAACTGCTTTGAACAAACTGCCCTGAGGGCAATCGCTGGGCATATCGCAGTGAGCTTTTCCTTCGGACTGGGCTCGACACGGTTTTGTGTGTCCCGCAGAAGTGTGCCCAGCTCCTGCCCTAGGCCAACGATTCAGTTTGTGCGCAGACTCACAGATGTCCCTCATTTTAGGTCCAATATAGTCTGGACTTTTCGGTGTGCTCACGGAACATCCCAAGGGCTGGATACAGAAATGAGCTCCTGCCTTCAGCTCCCCCGGGGTGTACCAGGCAGTATTTGTAAATGCTTGGGGATGCGGCAAGGGCCTGCCCCTGTAGTGTATGTGGCATGGAAGTGGGTTGGAAAGGCTTTCTGTTTCTCCACATTGTGTGTGTCTTTCTCCAGGTTTTGCTCCTGTCACGATTGAGACCTCAAGACACATGTATGAATATGTGGCCACTGCTTTGGACTGGTGGCATGCAGACAGATACTGCGACCAACACTTTGCTCAGTTGCTTTTTGAACCCCAAGACGGTGAGCAAGCTTCCTTTAGCAAACTGCTGCAGTCCCACCACATCAGAGGTTCTGTCTGGCTAAATGAAAGGGATGGTGTCCTGCACAAACCAAAATGGAGACGTGAGTAGAAATGGGCTTGGACTACTTGGAGATATGTTCACTGCTGGATCTTTTTTGTTCTGAAAAATTAATCTGACTGGAAAAGTTGCCACTTGTTTTTTATTGTCACTGTCGTAATGCCTGGGACCTCTAGTCACGAGCTGGAACTGGCAGCCTGAACAACAGTGATCCCAGCACATAAGCTGGTCGCTGTCAAGGTTTTTTAATGCATTGCAACAGAAGGGAGTTGCAAAGAGGCTCATCTGCTCTATCCTCCTGTGCAAACGCCCTGTAAAGCAGCTCTGGCTTTGGTCAGCCTCGCCATTTGTGACCTGTGGGTCCCGCAGAGCACTGATGTTAGACGGGACCAGGAGAACGGGCATGCCCCAGCCACAAGACACTGCTTGGCAGGTGCCTCAAAGGTCTTGCTTGACTATGCTCTGTAGCAGGGGATGATTGGCAACATGCTGTTCCTGCCATATTCGTTATCTGCAATCCTATTTTCTTAGAAAACTAAGTTTCTGGAAATTACACTTGCTGAAATGATGCAGTCTGAGCTTGCCTGTCTTCCCGATCCCCTCCAGGCCCGGAGGAGGCAGAAGCCTTGCTGCCTGCTTACAGGATGTCCTTGCCTGCAGGGTCCATGAGGTCTTAGCTTGCGTAGGAGGGCAGTGAAATGATGGTTTCATCCCAGCGGAAGGTGAGCAGGCTTTGGCCCGTGCTTCTTCCTTTATGCTGGCTGAAATTTCTCTTTCTAGGAGACCACATCGTACCGGTCCTGGTGTTCGGAGACAAAACAGACACCAAATACGTGAAGGTGCTCGCTGACTTCCCAGCACTGCCTGCTGTCACAGCCTGCGCCCACCTCCAGTGGGACGCCAGGACCCAGGAGATTGCTACCATCTTCTCCTATGCTGTGCCGGCTTTTATTAACGAGTTTCAGCTCCGTGGCTTTGTTGATGAGGAAGGCTTTGTTCGATTTGCTCTGATAGTCCATGGGCACCATTCCCCATACCTGCCCGTGTTCCGTGCTGATGGACAGTGGCATCACTTCTGCGTGACGTGGCAGCAGGAAAACGGGACCTGGGCTATCTATGCCGACGGTAAAAGGAGGGCCTCTGCCAGCGGTTTGTGTGCCGTGGGGCCGTCTACCCCCCAGGCCATCTACGGCCAGGGGACTTTCATAATTGGGCAGGATCAGGATTCCCTGGGGGGCACCTTCAGGGAGAAAGAGTCCTTCAGTGGGAACATCACTGACTTGCACATCTGGCAGAAAGTCCTGGGCGCGGAGCAGATTGAGAAAGTTCGGTCATGCTGGGTGGTAGAGCAAGACCTTGTATTCGGGTGGAGCTCAGACGCTCTGGAGATTGAAAACACCGTTGGGGAAGTGACCGCACAGTTTCTTTGCCCAGGTAAGTCTTATTACCCTCGCTGCTTCAGCTCCCTTCTGCGGTGGGCGGTCAGCACACAGGGATAGTCCGAGGAGCCAGTCCCATCCTTAGAGAGGGAATTTGGTGCAGCTGGTGGAATGATGCTTCTCCTTCGGGAAGGAAAGCAGAAGCACATTCAGAGCTGGGCTGGGCAGTTTCCAAATCGTTCTTAAAGGCACAGTCATCACTAAACCCGTGATCATTGAAGACCCCCGCAATGACCCTATTTCCGATGTCCTGGACTAATTACAGGCTTTCTCTTCTACTGAGAGAAATGGCTTGCTTGTCAGTGATGGTGTTTCTTGGGGTTTGCACACCTGGTGCTTCGGCGCTCTGCTGCAAGGAGGGATTCCTCCTCTCAGCCAGACTGGCGTGACGTTACCGATAAATCACGAACTCAGGACCTGGCGCTGCCGCCTCCTCCAAGTTCCTTCTGGGAAGGATTTCCCAGGCGGGTTGGGAGCCGTTTCTGAGCCCGGTCCCTGCCCTGCTCTGGCTCTGGGGCTGCTTAAGGAGCAGTCCACAGCTTTTGTCCTCGGTGGGGTTTGCGGATTGCTTGCAGGAACCGTGACACCTGCTGGGGATGGCATGTCTCTGGGGGACCTGGGCCTTCTCTTTGTGTGTGTTTCAACAGGGCTGCCGAGTTTTTGAAGTTGGCAGCAGTGGATTCAGTTACGCATCTTGTTTGCAGGCTTTGCCTTTTATCTGTCACTACAGAAAGGGTACAGCATCTGTTATTTATTTTTTCATTACCTTCCATGGCATTCACTCCTCGAGGTCCTAGCTAGGATGATGGCCAGCGATGGGGAGGCCTCGTGTCTGCTCTGAAGAGACCGCATGCAAAACCTGCTGTAGCTGTGACTTTGCTTCACTTGCATGCACTTTGGCAGGTTATTTTACTGTTCTCCAGTTAAGCAGTGGTTGTACACATTACATGGCTTCTGGATGCAGTGCTGTAGAGTGCCTCCCAATCCAGGCATCTCCAGACTCCTTGGCCAGGGACACATGGGGAGGAGGCAGAAGAGAAATGTTAGACTGTCTCTCCAGGTGACATTTTGTACTAGAAATAAAATACAGCTGTGAAGACACCTTGTCCTGACTGTCCTACAAACTTACTCACCATCTGAGGACCATTCCCCAGGCTTTGAACATGGCATGTGTTAACCACACTGCTAGACACCACAGCAATGGTTATGCTTTTGTTTTATTCTCAGATGCATACTGGCAACTGAAAAAAGCTCAGCTGGAATCCAGCCATTTGCTTGTCGCCCGTGTGAACGCGCTTGCAGAGAGGACTGTGGTGAGTCCTGCAGCCCCAGCAGTGGCAGCTGACCCCGGGAGCAGGCAGGAGCTGTTGGGGTGGACTTGCTGGCACCTCCTGGGGTTTGAGGCCACTTTACCAGCAGTTGTGCCTTTGGCCTTTTCTGAGCTGCTGGCAGAGAGTGTGACCAATACAGATGTAACACGTGCTGTGATCAAAGGAGGAAAGTGTTGCTTCAGGTTGACCCGTCTCACTGAGGTTGAGAGGCTGGACAAGAGACTTCAAAATGCCAAGGCAGATCTCCTTGCCCTAAGATATGCCTGGTTGGCCAGGCAGGTGTCCTCACACCAGCAAGGACATGCAGGGCATTGCGAAGGCGTGGCTGATGATCAACTCTGCACTGAACTAAAACATCTTTTCCATGGCAGATTCCTGAGAACGTCTTCACAAGTGATGTCCAAGACATGAACCTCTCTGTTGCTGTTGGTGCTCTTGATGTCTTGGCAACTGTTCTGAGGGAAGGAGAGACACCAGTGCTGGAGTCGTCTGACCTCCTTGCAGTGCTTCAGTTACTAAAGCAGGTTTCTGATGTGGAAGTCCAGGAGGGAGAGGAGCTGGAGATGTTGGAGCAGTTGGGCCAGTATTACGTGGAAGTGACTGAGTTAATCTTGGAAGAGCAGAATATTGAAACGTGGTCATCAGTCAGCCAGGTAACGGTGTCACCAGCAGTCTGGCCGCTGTGTGCCACGTCTGTTCATCCTGTGTGTGCAGCTGCTTGGCCTGCTGTGTGACCACCGGCTGAGAACCTGTCCTTGCATGGTCACATGTAGCCTTTCTGGCCGTGTTCTGGAGCTTGTGAAAATGCTGCAAGCATGGTCATGGAGCCTCTTTTCCAGCTCAGAAAAGGGCCAGCTGCCTTACTGTTGCCTTGTTTGTTGGAGGTGCAAACAAGGTCTTCTGCAAACAAGCGCAGTCAAGTGGTGCCTTCCTTGCAAACCCCTCCAGTGGTTGTCTCAGCTCTCTTCAAGCTTCTCCACTTTGTCAGCCTGGATTTACAGGATTACACACAGTTTGCAGATTCATGGTGCTTTGTAGATTCCTTGCTCCCACGTGCTGCTGTCTCTGGCAGAGCAATGCCCTTCACTTTATAGTTTGTTGTATTTTCCATGGGTGGGCTGCCAAGGAGCTATCTGTCATCAGCCCCCACACTGTTCAAAACACCGTCAGGCTTTGTGTGAGGGATTTCCATCATCCCACCCCCGTTAGGATTTTCTCCATCAGCTTCTTCCCTTCTCACGTGGGTCTTTTGTGTCTGTTGTATGGTCTGCACTCTCCACCTGTCTCTGGGAAATGTGTGACAGCATCTGGCCTGACCAGTGCTCCAGGAACCAAGCCAGGGACCTCCAGAGATGAAAGGATGCTGAATAGTTCAGAGTTTACCTCATCGCTTAGAGTTGCTTAGGTCTCCGTGGCCACAATTACTCACAGCTTCTCGACAGTGGCATAAAACCAGCCCTGGCCCAGAGTAGCTGGTGCAGGAGGTGTATCTGCTGAAGGAGAAAGGATTTGGGTTTGTGTGCTACAGGGGTGGCACTTCTGCTGCCCAGCACACACAGGACCTTGGGCAATGGGGCCAGTCACCTGCTACCCTTCCAGCAGTGGAGTCTGTTTCTGGGTGAAACATTTTCCAGGAAGAGAGGATTTTTGTTCTACAGCTTTGCAAAAATCAGGAGTCAGGTCTAAAAATCTACTTTCTTCAGAAGCTTATTTAGTTATTTATTTCCGTGCTATTTTAATGACTTTTTATCAAGACCAGCAAGTTTCCCTCATTGCCAGTCTCGTCTCCTTGCTGAAGGAACCGGGAACATCCTTCAGTGAAGAAAGCAAAGCAAAGCAAAGCAAAAGCCTTGAGTCCCAGCTTTTCTTTTTCTGCCAAGGACCAAGCATTTAAGAAAATTCTTGTGAGCTGTGGGAGGTGTTAGCTGGCGGTGCAGGTGCTGATTTCCATTGCTCTGCCCATGTTTGCAGGTTATCAGCGGGCCCATGGCTGTTGTTGAGCTCTGCGACAGAATGGTGTCACACTTAGCCCCACTGCTGACCGCAGGGAGGACAAAGATCACGATCCAGCACGGGAATGTCGGTGAGTGGCAGTGGCAGAGCTGGAGGAGGGCATCCCACCGGGACCCAGCTTAGTCATCCCGTCCGGTTCCCAGTCCAAGTCCACTCCTGGCGCCTCTCCTCCTCTGGCTCATCTCTTGCTAACCCTACAGCCTTCTCCCCATTTCCTCCATGCAGAAGTGTCACAGCGTGGGGGCACCTCTCACACTGTGGATTGTAAGAGGGTTGTAAGAAACCTTTGGGCGCAGGAGACAAACTGAGCCCACGTGCGCATGGTTTGCACTGAAAGGGATCTGCCTGCTGCTGCTGTGGGTCTTGGCTGAGGTTATAATGCCCTTGTGGAACTTTGCTGTAGGCTGAACCCTGGTTCAGTACCTGATTTTACCCCTCCACAGGGCTGGAGGTCAGGAAGCTGGAGCTGAGCAGGCAGGAGCTGAGCAGTGAGGCATACCTGGTCCAGAGCCCTGAGAAAGGCAAGCACGACCTCATTGAAGTTCCCGCAGAAGAAATGCAAAGACTGAAAGCCAGCGGTAGGTTATGACACCTGTGCTTCCCTGGCTCTCCCCTTGGCACTCTGCAGCATCTTCCTTAATGGCACGAACTGTTTACCCTGCACACGTGCAGCCTGGAGAAGTGTGGGGAGGAGATGCCCTTGGTGAAAGGGAGGGGGGCCATGGGGGAGAGATTATCTACAGCCTCTCTACAGACACAGCTTGGAGCTGTGGGTGCCCTGGACCCCCAGTATCACACCCCCGCATTAGGGCGGTGGTGCTCAAGCATGAGCTGCTCAGAGCTGCCCTGTGTGCCTGCACCCATCCTGCAATGCTCTGTCCCTCCAGGTCTCCGCAGAGTCACGGTGAAAAACATGTGGTTTGGCTACGGCTCCCCGCCGAGCGGCCCGGCCGGCGCCGGGCGCAGGCCCGG